CTCCCATAATCCTTTCATACATCTCCCCTCTCTGAAAGCGCGGGCGGCTAATAGACTCTCAACTCAAGCTGTACAGGCTGGATGATGATATCTTGGAATTAAGATGGGGCCACTACGTTTCTACAAGCAACATGGACCTCTTGTTCTGTTCCTTTACCATTTCTTTTGTGTGAGAGAGAGAGACAGAGACAGAGAGAGAGAGAGAGAGAGAGAGAGGGTCCTGTTTTCTACCTCATTTAGCCATTACCATATTACACTCTCCTTGCACTCTTACGGTACACTTCTATGAAAAGTCTCTGATTTTATACTGACTCTGTTCACTTTTAATGGGGACAGAAATGGCTATATTCTATCCCTTCAGTGGGAAGGAACCTGGCAATCCACAATGAGTCTAATCCTGGCAGGGTATCTACATTTGGATATAGGCCACCATTGCTCCTTAAGTTAACAGGTGACCAGCCTTTGCTGTGACTACCCCTAGGGTATTTCAACTCACTTCCTATGGAGCATTCATTTCAGCCCTTTCCACCCCATTTAAAAGAAAAATGTAGCAATACTGTATATTCCACACACCTTTTCTGGTTTAAATGCTGTCAGGAAACTCATAACCTTTATTTTTATTAAACAATGCTCATTTTTTTGAATTTTTACTATTTATTTTGTTTTCAGATTACCTGTTTTGTGATTTTTTTAAAAATATATTATGTTTTAACTGTTTGTACAAAGTCCCAAACACTTGGGCAGGTGAGGGGTGTTCTAAATGAAGATAGTACCTGATATAGCATTGCCTTAATTACACTATAGTCTACCTTTGAATGAGACTTGATTTTGGACCAACAATTAGCACATACCAATCATTTATTTTTTTAATATTTTACAGTGTTTATACACACAATCTGACACCAGGGGTAATTTTAGGGTCATCAGTAGAAAAGCCATATTCAACAATTACAGCAAATGAAATTGATCAAATGTTTGTAATTCCTTAAAGGCAAGCTGCAACACACAGCATTATAGAAGATATTCTAATTATTACATCTATTTACAAAGAACAAGTCACTGAAAGAATCTGTGTTGCATATAAGAAAACAGTCGTGACTTTATAGTACTAAAAATATTAAATTAAAAATACTGTTACAAACCCTTATCAACCAAAAATCAAGAAGTAACTTCTTACAATAACTTTGACAAATCGGGCTTTTAATTGACATCCTGGTTTATATCAGAGAAACTCCTGCTAGGAAGCAAGAGTAAAAATTTAATTTATTCAGACACAGCATCCACCATCTTGAGATACTAAAACAGGAACAGGGATTTCTAGAAACTATTTTAAAAACACAATCCAACATATAATTTGTAAATGTTTAACTGTCTAAGGTATAAATTAATCCCTACAATTTTCCTTTGAAGAACATGCCTAATAAAGCTGGCCTCTACCATTTAATAACGTATACCATTTAATAATAATGGAAGGTCTTATAGATCATTTATTTTTGCGGAGAAAAGAAAGAGATCCATAGCGAACAAGGCAGATCTGTATTCTTCAGCTGTCTCAGACAATTGCTACCCTTCTCCAGTAAAACAATACCTTTCACTTGTAAAGCTGCTATTAGCTATAACTGAGTGATTATCACATTTGCGTGCCATGGAATAAACACAGCCATGTAAAGCAACAGTACAGTGCACGATATGCTAACTATGGCAATTAAAAACTAGCTAACTGAGCATAAGGCTGTTATAAACATACAGCTAAGGGTAGCATAAAATCCCTTTACCTGTAAAGGGTTAAAAAACTTAAATAATCTGGTTGGCACCTAGGCACAAAGAGGGACCAGGGCAGAAAAAAAACATCTCCTAAAACCCTGCCTAAAATAAGCATCCAAGATTACAAAAATTGTAAGTAATAGCAAGAAAATGCATTAGCTTATCTTTTGTTTTAGCTTGCAAATTTTCCCTATGCTAAGAGAAAGGTTTATTCCTGTTTTTGTAACTTTAAAGTTTTGTCTAAAGGGAAATCCTCTGTGTTTTAAATCTTATTACCCTATAAAATTACCTTCCATCCTGATTTTACAGAGGTGCTTCTTTTACTTTTTTTCTTTATAATAAAGTTCTGCTTTTAAGAACCTGATGGGTTTTTAGTGTCCTAAAAACCTAAGGGTCTGGTCTGTGCTCATCTTGTTTACCTATTTGGTTGGTATATTATGCTCAAGCCTCCACGGGAAAGGGGATAAAGGAGTTTGCGGGGATATTTTGGGGAAACAAACTCCAAGTGGTACTTTTCCTAAATCTTTGTCTAACTCACTTGGTGGTGGCAGCGATACCGTCCAAGAACAAGAAAAAATTTGTGCCTTGGAAAAGTTTTTAACTTAAGCTGGTAAAAATAAGCGTAGGGGGTCTTTCATGCGGGTCCCCACATCTGTACCCCAAAGTTCAGAGTGGGGAGGGAACCCTGACAAGGGCTAATAGAGGCTAAAATGCCCAGATGTGGTTTTATCAAAGTACATAAAACAGACCTTCATATGCTTCAGGTCACCATAGACATTAATTCACAACAAGAGCAAACAATAAAAGTTGGTGAGATTCTCTCTGACTGACAAGTGTACTCTCTTTAAGGCAAGCTTACTACCAAACTGGTGTTCCTACAGGAGCTCTAGACTTGTAATGGAATAGCCTCAGATTAAGAAAATCCTTCAAAACCAGTAATGGAACAGTTGAACTATTAAATATACACACAGTATGTATGTATGTATATATGTATATAAATAAATAAATAAATAAATAAAAGGGACAAAGCTCAAAATCTGTTGAGACTCCAAATGCAACCATGTTTGGGTACCTAGTTACAACTCCATTATCACTGACATTTTTATAGTGCAGTGATACTCAGACCTCAGTTGTTCAGGAGTCAAATTAGTGATCAACATTACCTAAAAGAGCCATAAAAGTGTGAATTCATTGTTTCATTTACTATAGTACTATTCATATTTAAACAATATTATGGGAAATATTTAATATATATTCAATAAAATTCTCATAGGAAATAAATTAATAACTTAGTGCAAGTTGACAACTTAATTGGTTAACAACATAAAAGCATCCTAATTGGTTAATAATTCAATCAGTGTTTTAATATGTGCTGAAAAGAGCCACAGGAGACATTAAAGAGCCACTTGCAGCTCGCAAGCCGCAGTCTGAGTATCACTGTTCTAGTGTATAGCCTAGAATAGATCTTATCCGTGTTTCAGAATGAGATTAAAGCCTTGGCAATCTCCCAGTGCATTTGAGGGGATGGAGAGGACAGTGCACTAGGTGCACCGTGGATCTGATCCAGGATGGCAATTCCTCCAACTAAGAATATAGCCATGTCTCACCAGAACGGCACTCCCCACCTGGTGTGTTGCTTGCATAGTCTGGGAAAGGTTATGAACAGAGTAGCAGAAAATACGGGTTGTGGCTGCCTGTGAGAAACATGAAAGTATTCAACTACATGGCGAGCTTCTGCTTCTCCGGAGACCACTAGCTTTATAGCAAGCATCAGAAACATTTCCTCTACACAGATTTGTAAGACACACTTTCTCTTCAGTTTTGTTATGGGCCTACCCATTAGCACTGCTCTATTTTTATTAGAAAACCTGGATGAGATTTTCAAAAGCCAATGAGGGGATTTAACCACAGAACTCTCAGGGTAGATCTACACGAGAAGCACGACATCAGCGCGGCTTCACCGGTGCAACTGCACCTCTGTAATATGTCTGGTGAAGAAGCTGTATGCCGGCAGGAGAGCGCTCTCCCATCGGCACAATTACTCCACCTCCGTGAGAGGCAGAAGCTATGTTGGTGGAAAAGCATCTCCTGCCAACATAGTGTCGGTATGGACAGCGCTTAGGTCTCTGTAACTTGCATCGCTCGAGGAGGGTCTTTTTCACATCCCTGAGCAACATAAATTAGATTGTCTTAAGCGGTGGTGTAGACCTGCCCTTACTGTGGTTAAGTCCCCTAGGTAAATCTGAAAGTCTCAACCCCTACTTTTAAAATGTTTCCACATCTGGACATTAAAGTTTTGGTTGGAGCTGAAACTCCAACATCCCCAATGGCACCAGGACTTTTGGGTCACATGCCCCAGCAGCCCCCCAACCCCATCCACCACAACTGGGCGTGGAGCTATAATATTGATTGGGTGTGTGGGTGCTTCAGCCCCATAAATCATCCACACCACAACAGCATGCCACACCTGAGAAACCTGTTTTAACCAAATTCTGGCAATTGTTAAGTTACAGGGGAGCAAAAAAAAGGAAGATACTGGTTTCAAATACTCTCTTAAGGATGGTTATCACTTTAGGGAAGGAAGTAGTATCTAGAGGGATGAACTCCTAAGAAAAAGATCCTGTTTTCATGCAAATGTCGCTGACCACCACCATCACCACACAAACGCAACGAGAAAGGCACAAGAATTTCAAAAAGCACTTACGGGGCTAAGGAGCACAAGTCCAATTGACTTTTCTTGACACTTGCACTCCTAAGTTCTCTCAGGCACTTTTGAAACTCTCACCCACAGACTATGAAAAATACCTTTACACACACACACACACACACACACAATATCTATATGTGGCTCATTAAAGCACCTGTTCCAATAATGTCACTGATGATGCAAGTTAAGAGGTGTAGGGAATTAGTGGTTTCTGGAGATAAGTTTAAATCCTGTCTAGGGTTACACGTAAAAGTTAACATAGTGGTCTCATTTAGTACCCATTTATCCACATCACAAGGCAACACAGTTGGCACACCTAGCAGTGCTTTGCAAGGCCCAAAACCAGAATAGCAAGGGATTTTATAGGAAAAGACCAAGATGTTCAGATATCTGAGAAGAATCATGCACTACGAGTGACTTCAGCTAATTCGTTTAGTTCTTTCAGAAGCACCAGTTTCACACTCGATTTTAAAATTTAGAAAAAGATGGCACAGAAATGCAATGCCAACTTGGCTTAAGTTTGTCTTACCTGAGCTGGATATTAGGCTCCGTGCTACATCAGTTCAGGCTAAGTTGCCCTCTCCCCATCTGGTAGAAAATATTTCCAGTTCCAAAATGTTCACCTTCATGACTCTTAGAATTTTCTGTCCTTAGCTGAAACCTCCAGACTAGCCAAGCTCTGCTCACTCTCAGTCTCACTCACACACTCCCAAATCAATGCAGCGTCATCTCTCTCCGGTGTGTCTCCACACAAGCGTTCACTGCAGGGGAGAAATGCAGCCTCGGAAGCTGTCACTATACAGACTCTCTTCCCTCTCCCAGACTCACTGCAAAGAAAACAAGAAGAGGTCCATCAGCTTTCTGTTTCTTGCACCACACATATATTTTTGTCACAAAATCAGGATCTATTTGCAAACAAAAAAAAGCGTTCAACATTCTGTTTATGTGAACAACCAAGTAAATACACTCAGGGTTTGGCTGTACTATGGGGTTACAATGGATGTAACCCTGTAGTGCCAATGCTATGGGGAAGTTACTACAGCAACAGAAGGAGTTCTTCTATCCTGGTAGTAACTCCACCTCCCAGAGGTCTGTCTACATTGCAATTAAACACCCGCAGCTAGCCCATGTCAGCTGACTCAGGCTCATGGAGCTGTAAAATTGCAGTGCACACATTTGGGTGGGAGCCCAAGCTCTGGAATCCTTCCCGCCTTGCGGTGTCCAAGAGCTCAGGCTCCAGCCTGAGCCCAAATGTCCACACTGCAATTTTATAGCCCGGCAGCCCAAGTCAGCTATCAAGGGCCAGCCACAGATGTTTTATTGCAGTGCAGAAATAGCAATGGTAGCTAGGTTGACAAAAAAAACGCTGCTGTTGACCTACCTACGTCTACACTGGAAGGTTAGGTTAGCAAAGCTGCGGCACTCTGCATCATAGCTATGTCATCCAGGCATCATGACCACTTTGTACAACATTTCAAGGGTGTAACCCACCAAAGAGGAAAGGAAGCACTTAGGGTGGTACAACGGACGGTAAAAATAGTGGTGCTGAAACTGAGCAAATGAGGATTAAAGCTGAGTTGTCATGAACATTTCCTAAGCCGCATTATCTGAGACACTGTGGAGTAGTCTCCCAAAGGAAACGTAGGGAGCTGCATGGCTCAGGTTATTGAAGAACATGGGCTGGACTAAGTAATGGAAAAAATACCAAAGGGAGAATCCTGAACTGACCAAGGGGAATGGATTACATGCCTCACTAGCTCTTTTCCATTTCCAGTGTTTGCTTCTTTGTGGATGCACAGGACCTAGATATGTTTGTGTATCCAAACAGCTGTTAAAGCCAGTAGGCAGTGATGCAGTCGCTCAGCCAGAAATTTCACAAAGCAAGGGGCACACAATTGACCGTACATTTAGATCTTAGGGGCAACAAACACAAACAAACAATTTAAAACAGTCATGATCTCATTTTGCTCAGTTTGGTTTCATTTTATTCATAAAGATATTCTATGGTCATTTTTGAGCCTCTCAGTTTTCAAATTTTGCTATTCTCCCTTCTGGTTTGAGATGCCAGTCATGTCCTGATTTCAGTGCTGCTGCATAGAAAAAAATGCCCAACACTGCTTTATATTAATGGAGAGATTGGCTTGTTGAACTGCATTTTGTTTAGGATTAGGATGGAATTTTGTGATCTGACCAGACATTCTGGGTGAACTAAAATGCAGTCAATGGGCCTACAGCCACATTATGTCATTTGTCTGTAATTTACTTATGCAGAGAAGCTCAGTTCAAACACAACATCTCGTTTTCAGTGGGGTCCTGTGTTTTACCCCATTTTCTAACCTGGTTGACAGATTTACGAGGTCAAGTGGATTCCCTGGAGGTCTCAAAGCGAGTTAACCCATGGAGACCGTAGGCACGTACTATACAACGTCATCCTCAGCTTTCCTACAGGAGAACACAAGACCCTCCAAAGCCCTTTGCTGCTCTAATTCATTATCCCACACTGTTAACGAGGGAACAGTGCTAATGGAAAAACTGAACTGATTTCCCAGCACAAGCAGCTGCTACCAGCTATATTTTAGATGGAATAATCTTGGCCATTTGCTGACAGATAAACACAACAAAGCCCAATGGTACACAGGGATTGTCTGTCATCCAAACATTATAGGAAACTGTTAGTCCTTCATCCTGCAATATTCTCTCAAGACATCAAAAAAAAGTTATGAAAGCTGTTAGATTGCAACCTGTGATATGATCAGTGCACACAACTTTGAAGGCCGCTTAGAATTTTCCAGCTGAGAATCTCGAAAGTATTTTCCAATCAGTAACTAGGCTTTGAAAGTGATTTAAAAAAAAAAAAAAGTACATTGAATTAAACCATGTAGTCCTGAGCAGTAGAATGCAGTACCTTCACTTGACTTGGATTTTGTAAAATGGCTACTGCAGCAAACTGTTTCTCAGGGCAGCTCAAGACATTTCTTCCATTAGAAAAAACAAAATACTCTCAGCGGTGACAGAGACAGCAGCAGTAGAAGGGGGCTTGGAAAGGGGAATAACTTTAATAGTTCCTAGAAAATTTACAGTTTTGTAGTTCTGATCTCAAATAATTCAGAAGAAAAAGCTGTTTTTGCAGCATAAAACTGCCAGTTTGTCACAGGGTGTGAAGTTTCTACATGAAATTGACAAGCCACCTCAAGGGGAAAATTTATGATTCTGCCTAGGAGGGGATGTAAAGTCCACTTTCAGTATGAAAAGGCTGTATTAATGGTGTGACTCCACTTTTGATCTCACTCACAAGTACTTGCGAACACACTTTAAAGCATTTAAAACCCCAACATTCACAAGTCTCTTTGTAATACCTCTCCCTTTCATGTCTCTCCAACCATGCTACAGCCCAAGATGCAATGACCAAAATAAACAGAGTCTAGAACAGTTTATACATTCCTCCTCAGAGTTGGTTGCATTTATTTGTGAGTAGTCCTTTATGTTTTTTATACCTGTCTACACTCACCATACAGTGAGCATAGAAAGCACTTCAGAAAATTTTAATCACAACAATAATCTCTTTCTGTAAGATGGCAATCATAACAGTAGGTGAGAACCTACAACCAATAAGCTACCAGGAAACAAATTTCAAATCTGCCTCCCTCTCAAACATTTCCCATGCTTATAATTCACTCCAATTTTCCATTGCAGGGGGGAGAGAGGAAGAGGAGGAGGAGGAAGAGGAACTTTGCCATGTGCACTGAAGATCATCAGATTCAGGCCATCTCAAAACGAGGATTGCGGAAGAGGGAGGGAAGAAAAATACAATTCAAAAATGAGGAGGTTCATGCAGAGAACACCCAGTAGCAGCCTCCTCTTGTTTATATCATCGAGGCTCCAGCTTGAGTGCCTCTGCTGATCTTAGCGGTGGTAGTATGGCACAGGGAAAGAGATGGCTTTAAATGAAAGCTAGTCTCTTCAAGTAGAACTGCTAGCTTCTTGTTGAGTCTCCAACAATTCTTCTGCAGCTTCTATTTTTAGACCTCGTAGAGAATAAACAAATACCCAAAAAAACATTGTTTTGTTTTTTGCCCGGAACTTGTCCGTCAGTTGATGAGAGTTTCAGATATGTAGCCTCATTATAGGAAATGATTTCTACTTGACCCCATTAAAATATAAGAGTCAGACTGGAAAAAGTAGAAGACTACAAGTTTTTGGGAAACACTCAAGAGACTAATTTTTTTCCTCTGATGTCTGCGCAAAAAAAAAAAAAAAAAAAAACAGTGAAACCAAAAAGAATTCCCCTCTCCCCATGCACACCCTTTTTCGGAATGAAAAATGCATATTGTACTTGAGTGGGAAGGAACTGTATAAATATGGCCTTTAGAAGTCAGATTCTTCTTGCTTAAGACAGGATTAGAAGTAAATCAAAATTTCTCTAATTGCAAACTTAAGCCAGCTATAATATTGTCCATTCTTCATTAGGTACTAGACCATGTGCCCGAGGAATGCAAATATGTCAGGCAAATACAAAGTGAGACTGACGACTGATTTACTAGAACATCCACCAAGCGTTTTAAGTGTTTGTTCTACAAACAAGCAAAGTGAATTAGACATAGCTGCTTCACATTTTCAGTGCCAATTGCAAATTTGTAAGGATCAAGTCATAACCTCCCTGGCCTTTTGTCTGCCAGCTCATATACACCCAACTATTTCATCTCATCTAACACAGGGGAATAATGAGAGGCAAGTAAATTGGCAGAGTCTCTGCCAAAACACCACACACTTCCCAGAATGCATTCCTCCACTAGATCTACTTCTCCACGCTCCACACCAAATGGGTCATATTACTTCCCCCCAAATCCCAACTCATGTCATTTGCATGTGACTGCACAGAGCAGCATCTAGTAATGTAGAAACTTCCACTGTAGTTTCTTTTCCTACACAGTCCACCTGCTTTTTCCCTCCATAACTGAACACACAATTAGATATATCTGGCTTCGGCCACTTACAGGCTGCTCAACTAGAACGAATCACTAAATGATGTGACAGACATCATCTGGCTAACACCTGTGATTAAAATTGGGTCCTCCAGAACTAAAAGTGTGAATCTACACAGCTTGCGCTAAAGAGCCAGGCTCTCTGGTTGAGCGCTGTAACAGACTCTCATCCTCTGTGGATCAGGCTACTAAAGGGGACATTTACACACTGAAGAGGGTGGTACAGGCATTCCCAAGATACCCAACTCCTGCAGCGATCGGTCTAACGGGGGTCAATTAGATGCGATAAATTGACCACCGAGCGCTCTCCTGTCGACTCCAGTACTCCACCAGGGCGAGAGGCACAGGCGGAGTCAACGGGAGAGCGTCAGCCGTCAACTTACCGCAGTGAAGACATCCCGGTAAGCAGATCTAAGTACATCGACTTCAGCTATGTTATTCACGTAGCTGAAGTTGCATAACTTAGATCGATCCTCCCCTCCCCACCACTAGTGTAGACCAGGCCTCAGATACTTTGGTCTCTTGTGGTTAAGTAGGGGACATCCAGCAGCTGGGAAGAAGAGCCCAACAGAAATTTTTTTTAATATGTACCCAAAACATGCCATCTCCTATACTCAAGAGAGGACTTTCACTACAGAAAGCAAAAATAAATTAATGTCACCAGAATCTTAAGCCCCCTTTATGACTAGTGGGTCTGTTTACCTTTAGAAAGGAGGCCTATAAGAGGGGACATGATACAAGTATATAAAATAATTAGTGGTACAGACAAAGTAGATTGGGAGCATCGGTTTCCCTGATCTCAGAATACAAGAAATTGGCTAACAGTCAACGGGAAATTCAAAAAC